ATATATATATATAAAACAAATTTATTAACTACAGATAGATTTTAAGTGAGCTGTAATAGCATACACCTTAAAGTTGGTTACCTAGGAAATAAACAAAATGGCAATCTAAATTCTGTAAACTAGACAGGATTTGAATCAAGCAGTGTCTCACCCTGTTGGTACAAACAGTCCACTGAGCTTCCATACACAGGCAGGGTTTTCTACTTTCCCCGCCTGGGACCCTCTTTCCCAGTTCAGTCTTTGTTCCTATGGTGTTTCCAGGTGTTGAGATGTAAGGGGAGTGAGGCCAATTGGTGATGGCACTTCCCCCTTTTATGGCTTCTTCCAGGTGGAGGGAACTTCATTATCTCAAGCAAAGTCCCCAGCACAGTTAGTGGAAAAACACAGGCACAAGATGGAGTCCAGTATCCCATGAGCTAGTCACCTGCCTTTGCATGCTTTGGTGAGTCATAGCAGCTATTACTTATACATTGGCTGAAGCGCCAACAGGAAAGCTCATCAGGTGAGGCTAAGCTTTTCCCATGGCCCATTGTTTTTGCTCAAGGGCCATTACCTTGAATAGACCCTGGCTAGATTGGATGTAAACTAACTTGTGGGAGTTACCCAGGAGCAAGCACATTTGAAATACAGATGCATAGTCAATTTTCATAACTCCAGATACAAAAATGAGACATTCATACAAATAGGATAATTCATATTCAGCAAACTAACTTTTCCATTGACACCTCACATGACATATTTTATACAAGATGCATCATAATTATAATCATATCACTTGGTGAATATAAATTGGTTTGTCATGGAAAAACACAGAATTTGCATTTTTATAGAGAATCTTGTTTTACATTTTGTGGAAAAAATAAAAACCTATACAGTAGAACCCCGTTTATCCAAGCCTCCATTATTTGGCTCTCTGTATTAACTGAACTGGGGCTGATAGTGGGAAGGAACCCCACCTCTCACAGTTGAAACTCCAGATTATCCAAATTTTTGATTATCCAATCTGGCCTTGGTCCCAGTTAGATCGGATATATGGGGTTCCACTGTATCAATAAAACATTTTGCTCAACTGAATGTATATATTGTGGCTAGGGAAACTGAAGTTCAACATTTCCTTTTAATTGCAGAAAAACGTGGCTTTTTATGGGGGAAACTAGGATCCCTGCTCGTGACACACCAATTTTGGTAAATTGGTGTTAGTCTCTGTTCAGATAATCCAAAATCCCTCCACCTGTAAGGGAACTGCTGATGAGTCACCTACAGTGGAATGGACAATCACTTGAAGGAGAGAAAATGGTTACCTGAACAGTAACTCTTGTTCTTCAAGATATGCTGTGCAGATATGTTCCATGACTCTCCCACCTTCCTGGTACTTCAGACATTACGTATAGTGGTGTGAAGGAATAGAGAGGGAGGCAGTGGCCCCTTTTATGCCCTCACCTGACAGCATGAGGAGAGCAGGGGCACGTGCACCACCTAGTACTGCTGGCAAAAGTCTTCACCTTGAATGCATTGGGCACACATACACTTACCTACAGTGGAAGGTATTTGTGCACAACACATCTTGAAGAACAACAGTTTCTGTACAGGTAAGTACCCATTTTTTCTTTTGTCTTTGTCATAGGCAGAACTAAATACTTTATTTAAGAGAATGATTTGTTAGGACAGGAAGTAGACTCAATTATTTATGGGCACTTTTAGTAGCACTAAAGTCTCCCTGAATTGGCACCATTGATCCAGTCTCAAGACTGTGGGCCAGGTTCTAGATGCAGGAAGGGCAATACTGTAGCGGTTGCTCTCAGTTGTGTCTTCAAGGTTTTCTTCACAAACGTGTCTCCTAGACAAATGGAAAATTGAAAGTGTGTTTTGTACAGCAAGGGAAGGGGCCAAAGGAAATTGTGCAATACAGGGGCCTCATTGGTTGATAACTTGGTTAGTAGTTCTGAACTCAGGCACTAGATTACAGTAACTAGAACAGTGACCTTTAAAAAGGAGCTGCTGCTGCCTAAGTGCTTGAAGGGAGCCTTCTTGTTGGCCCGGGGAGGAGGGGGGAATGATTTGCTCAGAAGCTGTTGTAATTTGGGAACAAGAGGAATTAACATCACATATAAGTGGAACTATTTGTTATTTTTAGGCCTCCTGTCAGGGATATCTTGGTACATCCCAGGGGCCCTCTTCACCTTCCTAGAAGCAATGTCAGAGACCCTCCCTCCCATTGCCATTCTTGTTGAACACTTTCCTAGAAGTGGTTTTATTTTTTCCGTTTCAGTTACTAGTTCCTAGTTTTCGTTTCAGTTGCTAGTTCCTAGTTTTGTGATTTTCCTTGTTCTTATGAAGGTTATTCATGATCAAAACTCTGAGGTGGTGCTCTTCATCACATGGTTACATTTGGCCTGAAAAAGTTATTCTTGCCAACTACAAGACAGAAATGTTGATGTTATCTAGAAAAGGACACGTTGGAACCATTTCAAAATAATCTTGCCCAGAGACTTGTGTGTTGTCTTATCCATTTCAGGGACAGGTGTTTAAGATAGAGCAGTGTTTAGCTGAAATTTACATATCTTCTGATATATGTATATATTGCTCTGGAGTTCTAACACAGCATCCTCTGGAAAGATGTGATAGATCAATAGGAAAAATCTTAGAATTGTTTAAATAGACTGAACTATGTTACTTACTATCTGTTACAGATGCATTGTTTTCAAATATTGTAAGTATACTCTATGTGATGACATTCATGTGGTAGTTGCATTTATCATGCACTTCTGACTGTTGCATTTGTGCTCTGCCCCTTACTCCAGCTCCACTGGCAGCTGTCTGATGTTTCAAACACTGCAGATCTTCTAACAGCTTACTAAATAAATATTTATTCCCCCATAGGTGATATTTTCCTGCACAGTTACAGGAAGAATACTCAGTCTTGGAGTAGTGACACAGGGTTAAGATCTGGTAGTGCATTATCCATTACAGCTAGAAAGAAAAATAATGCTTGTGACATTAGCTTATGCCCAAATAAATTTGTTACTCTCTAAGGTGCCACAAGGACTCCTCGGTTTTTTTGCTGATACAGACTAACACGGCTACCACTGAAACCGTAAAAACTCATATATTTCTGTAATAGTTGACTCGCTTTATCTGTAATGTCTGCTCAATTCTCACCTCTGTTTTAAGCGTGTAGCCATGAGATCAAAATTTAAGATTGGTACCGAAAGGTGGTCCTCATTTTCACTGCCGAGCTTCAGGCTACCAAAACTAAAAGTAGCATCCCAGCCAGCTGGCTTAAGATGGAGCATCAGATCCTCAAACTTGTCTCTCTCAGATATATCTGGAAACTAACAATGATGGAATCTCTATTTTATTCAAATTAGGGCTGCTTTCTTTTTTAGATCTGAATTGAGCCAAGAGGCTACTACTCTCTTCAAATCTCTCAGACCCACCTCTGTTGTAGCCTATACGATTTCAGCCTACCCAGCTTGGGGCTTCTAGCTGCTACTATAATATAAATAAATACAAACTATATAGATTTCCCACTGTTTAGAAATCTGCATCGATTTGGTTTATTCTACTCTGAGAAAAATAAAGAGAAACTAAATGCTCAAGTGCAAGGCTGTGTGTGCATTTTTTTAAAATATGTATACTGAATATTAACTTGGTAGAGTTGCCATTGTTACTACCTACAACCAGCTTTGCACTTTCTTACTTGTAAGGACTATTAAAGGGGAAAAATGGCTTGCCATTTAGTATAGAACTCCCTTATGTAATTATTGAAGCTGCAAAGCTTGGCTTGAGTCCAGTCTTCTACGGTGTTCACTTTGTGTGAATTTATCAGCATATCAAAAGATGATAGTAAAATAAGTGACTGACTATTGGGTTGTGGCTCTAATAACTTTACATGACTATCTGAAGTCCTATTTGCTGATGTCTGTATGAAACCCGCCAATCTATTTACAATACAGCATTTCAAAAGGTTAAATCAGTCAAAATACAGACATGACTTTCACCAACAGTGACGGGTGAGTGTTCGCAGTAACAATCAATGTCACCAACTCCCCACTGCAGCTATTTGTACATGCAGTGATTGTGGTCATTTAGGAGGCGGGATGATAAACATTGTTAAGGGTCTAGCACCATAAATAGCTCTTGTGAATGTCCAACTCTATCAATTGCAGCACCAAACATCAAACCAGGACGGTGAGGCACAATCGCAATCTTGTATTGTTCAAAAATTGCAAGGGGAGTGGCAAGAGGAGGCAGAAATGTAGCCTTATGATAGGGCTGCGTTAAATCCTTCCATTTTTATTTATTTATTTTAATTATGGGGTATGGCTTAGGGAACATACTTTAAAATCACAAATAATTTTCAGTCATCTCAAGGGCCACAGGTTTGACACTACTGATCTAAACTATGTCAGAACTATGTCGATGATGCCCAAAGCTGAATAAAATATTTCAGCAGCTCTTCCTAGGGCAACCAGTGAAAGGGCTGTTATAGAACGCTGTAGTAGACAATCAGTACAGCCTGGGCTTATTTTAATGTTACGTGGATATAAAAAAACAAAAAAGTTGCTGTTTCTTGCCCAGTAATAAGATTTCATATGTGTAGCAAAAGAAAGATGCCCCAATTAGACCAAACAGAAAAGAGTCACATTAATTCGAATGGAAACAAGAAGCAGGCATGCGTCTTCATATATAAAATCCAAATGTTATTCCCTTTATTTCACTAAAGAAATGATTGTTAGTTTGGCAGAACAAGATTTGGCAAAGGCTTTGAGAAAAGTAATCCAGTTAATTCCAGAGCAATACAGTTTCCCTCTGCTCTAGGCACTTGAGTACAACTCCAATTCATTTAGTGTAATAAATGGGAAGCACACTAGGTGGGTACTAGCCAGATCCAAATCCAGATTTAACTTTAATTAGACAGCAAGTACTAACTGATTTCCTACTTTCCAAATATTCTTTTAAGAATGTAAATGACATTAAACAGTCACTAAATCAAACCTTTTATGGAAAATTAACTGTCATTTGTGTGTACTGTGCTGTTAAGATGACAGAAACAGGTAGCTGTTCGGGTCCAGTGAAACCCCATTAACATCTCAAGTTTGGTGCAGAGTATAAAAAAATACTATAAATCAAAAGAACAGTCTCTGCAAGTATAACTTAGTAGACGTATCAGAGGGGTAGCCGTGTTAGTCTGAATCTGTAAAAAGCAACAGAGGGTCCTGTGGCACCTTTGAGACTAACAGAAGTACTGTAGACGTAACTTCAACCCATTTTGAGTCAGTTATCGTTACCCAGGGCACATTAGTGCAAAACATGCCTTTTAAATTAAAGGGGCAATTTAGTCAATTTCCAAGTGTGATGGCAGAAGTACAGGCCTCAGTTGTGCAAACATTAGCAGGGGAGTAGTCCCATTGAAGGCTGGGGCTAGCTCTAGTTAAGCATAGGTGTGTTTGCAGGTTTGGGGCCATATTTAGATATTACACCTGTAAGTCGCCCTGCCAGTTTTTGTAGTTTTACAATCAGATCTTCCTTTAAAAAGACAAAACAAAACAACTCCTTTTGCAGGTGTGAAAACCCACCCCACTGAATGAAGAAATGATTCTGCATAAAGTGCTGGCAAAGGCACATAAAACATAAAAACCTCATTCTCTCTCAGGCTTAGTCTAGTCATTTTAGGTGTTAGTTGGGGACAGTCAAATGATCTTTGCTACACCCTCTTTCCAGGCAGAAGAGGGGGTCTTGACAAGCTACTGAGATCCCTTTCATCATTTGCATGAGAAACATGTCTTTTGATACAGGTCTCGGGTACGGCAGCTAGTGCTCACTTACGAGTGCTCCAGCGTGATCAATGGATGGAAAAACCTCACTCAGTCATGCTTCCTTAGGTGGCATTTGGAATAAAAGGGATTTTGCTAGATGAAAATCCGTTCCGTCACTTCAAAGGGTCGGCTTTATACAGTGTTTTTCACCTGCTCATACTACAAAGGAAGTGCTGGGTTTTAGCCCTAAGGAGGCTTTTGGGACAAGAGGGAGAAATTTGCTGGCACATCTATTTAAATAGCTACACCTACTAACAGATCATACAGGCCTCTAAAATACTGTTGTGAAGAACAGTCTAGGCACTATCGTATGCATTTAACAGCTGAGGTACCAGGAGGTGAATAAATGCTCTATTTAAAAGGCATTTTTGCTGTAACCAGCTGGAGGTGCGCAAATCCCACGCAGCCAGAGGAGAAGGGCGCAGGTGACGATTTGCCAGCTGCCCACAGCAGCACCAGCAAGAGCCTCCTGGCTGATCCTTAGCAGGGCTGGGGCTGCTTGTCAGGGGGAAGTGGCGGTTCCTTGCTGTCGGTCTCCTCCTCCCTGCCCAGCTCGGAGCGCTTCCTGGGCTCGGGGGTCTCCTCTGCCCACCTCCCCACTCTGCGCACCCCCTTGGCCACCTTGGGCGCATTCCTGCAGGGGTTGTGGTCGTAGATCACCAGCTTGAGGCCGGGGAGGTGAGCCAGACTGGGGAAGGACCTGATGGCGTTGCGATCCACGTCAATCACCTCCAGGAATGGCATGTGCAGCAGCACCGGCGGGAAGTCAGCCAGCAGGTTGCCGGAGAGCCAGATGGTGCGCAGCTCCTGCAGGCACCGCAGCCCGGCGGGCAGCGTGTGCAGCACGTTGGAGCCGGCGTGCAGGGTCTTGAGGAGGCTCAGCTCACACACCACCTCGGGCAGGTGGCTCAGGCAGTTGGACTCAACCCACAAGGTTTTGAGATTCTGCAGGAGACTGAGCTCCTGGGGCAGGTCGCAGAGCTTGTTGTTGCCCAGGTAGAGGATGCACAGCTGCTTCAGGGTGCACACCACCAGGGGCAGCGCTTTGAAGTTGTTGAAATCTAACGCCAAGATCTGGAGGTTCTGCAGCTGTTCTAGCTCTGGGGGCAGCTGGTGCAGGTTATTGTCACTCAGGTACAGCTTGACGAGCTCCCTGAAAGAACAAACATGCAAGGGAAATCTCCTCAGCTGCCTGCTGCTCAGATCCACCATTCTATCAATTGGCATCTCTTCAAGGTCTCCCAGGAGGTATTTCTGGCAGTCATCAGAAGGGATGAAGGCAATGATTGCTCTCAGTGTGTTGCCCATACTGAAACTGTCTGCATTTAAAATCACTGCTACCATGTGGAACCCGGAGCATCAGGAACTCTCCCTCGTTTCTACTTTGTGCACTGTCCTGCTGGTATTTCCTTCTTCCCATTATAATGCACAGTTTACATGGCAACAGTCATTAATCTCAAGAGCTCTGAAATGTTGCTGATAACGGAATGAGTGCTTGGTGATGGGAAGTGCAGACAGCCTGACTTTCGGAGAACAGGTCTCTCTCTCACACACAGAAAAGAGGCCATCTTCCCTGTGAAGACTGTAAAAGTTCTAAAATTGCACTACACTTGACCAAAAATAGTTACTCAAATGCTCCCTGCCTCCCTGTAGATACAGCCACACTGTCTGCGCGGCTGGTACCAGCTCTGGGGATTGGCTAAGGAAAGTAAACATCGCTGAAGAGTGAATTTTTAAACTTAATTTAAACTAAACATTTAATCTTGTAGCAGCCTGAGTGGGAATGTCAGATGTAATCTGATTCCTGTTTAGAATACCTGTCAAGCCTCAACTAACTTTCCAGACCAGTGGCACTTTTATGGAGTTACTTTGTGAAGTGCCAAGTACACATTTTAACAGTGTGACCTGCCCCCCAATACTTATCTCATACATTTAACACAAATACTTGGCAAAGTGCTCTTTAGCTGCCTTAGTATTTACTTTCTTAATTTAACTGCGTTTACTAGAGCTGCTGGGACTTTTAGCTGTGCGCAGCCTTTTCGCTAAATGGCATTTTGTTTATATTGTCTGAATCCCATATACAACCCATTCACCGTCACAACATGCCAAGGTTAACCTCCTCCATTCTTCTAACCTCCTGCCACTGACTCCGTGTCTAGCTGCCCTTTTGTCTGGCAAACGACTTTATAATTAAATCAATGGCAAAGTTTTCTCTTATTTAAATGTAGCCAGTTATGGATTGATTTATACGCAGTAAAACCTGCCTTAGAGACCACCTCTGAAGAAAGATCACCTGTCATGAGCGACCGCTTGCAGAGGCCCCAGAACCACCACTCTCTGCCATGCAAGCCTTTGAAGAGAGACCTCATTTTACAAGCGACCACTTTTGCTAACTCCGATGAGTGATCACTCTTGGCAGGTTTTACTGTAGTACGTTCACTGTTATTGCTAATTTAGATGCTGTTCCCAACAACACCCATGATATTCAGTCTGCAAACTTTGGTGCATAGCGTCCATTCATTTGTAGAAGGCTTCCAGTCTTTAGAGGGCAGCTCTATAGATGCTTTGACCTCTTGGGTGATTCTTTCTACAGCACTTTTGCAAATCTTCACATCAGAGGTTCGGAAGAACTTTGGTTTTTGAAAGAGCATTTCCAACAGATAGAGTTGGATGTTTGGTTTGATTTCAGTACACACATCAAATGGCAGAGTTTGACTCTTTATCTGCATCAACTGTGATTGAGGAAGGCTATTTTCTTTAAATTGTGTACAACTTCTTTCCAGTAGCACCTTCACTGTGTTAGGTGCTGCACACACACAGAAGAAGTCATGGTCGCTGTCTTGATCAGTTATTATAGTTACCATTATAGTTACTTGTACATGTGTCATAGTAGAAGTTGGTCTGTAGCAGGGATTTGAATGAGGAGAGGGCAGTGATGTGGGGGACCAGGTCTTGAGAGACAGATAAGTGGCATGCTGAGGCTGACTTTACTGACAGAGCAGAGTGGATGCTGGAGGATCAGGGTGACCTGAAATGAGATTCAGGCTGATAAGCGGGAATGGGCAGACTTATCAGGATCTTGAAGGCAAGGCTAGCTATTGCAAGTGTCTGTGGGCTTGCAATGAAAACATTGTTGTGAATTAGTACACCGGACAGTGGCAAAACAAGTGATGTACCGTACAGATGGTAGTATCACAGTAACAGTGGAGTTTCCACTGAGAAACCTTCACATGGTTGCTGCATTTTTTTATAATGCAATACTGTGCAGTATTTCAGCAAAACTGTGTAAATAGCATGCCAGCACTGCACTTTCATAATCTTTGCCTTTCTAAGCAATTATCATGGAAAATTTAGATACTTTGATTTTATGAAATCCCTTTAATCTGAAATACTTTGATGTACCCCAGCCTAGCATGTGTGTATTAATCTGTTTTATGAACCCCCCCAAGTTTTATGAAAGCTTTGAGGCTTTAAAAAAACCCCAAAATGTACCTGATCATGTCTATCAAAACACACAGAGAATAGACTACATATTGCTATGGTTGGCATACATCACTTTTTATTGGTGTGAGTTAGTGATAGCTGAATGATAGAGAACACATCCATGGTATAAGTATTTCCATAGTAATATAAGGGAGTCAGAGACTGGTGACCAATGTGGTACAAAAACCTTGGTAATAACTTTTTAGTTATTAATATAGTTTGTTTGAAGTGTAATTGTTCTTTTATCAGTATAGTACGGAGAAAAGAAAAAAATATATCTATACTTTTTTGTCTTATCAGGTTGGCATTTGTATATGAGAGTACATGTTTATATATTTCTAGAGCAGGGGTGGACAAACTATGGGCAGTGCGGGCAGAGAGCAGGGGGAGTTGGATAGAGGGCATGAGAGATCGGGGTGGTGGTCAGGGGGCATGGGTGTGGATAGAGGTCAGGGCAGTGGGGGAGGAATAGGAGGTTGAATGAGGGCAGGGGTTCTGGGGGCAGTCAGGGGACAGGGAGAAGGAGTGGTTGCATGGGGGCAGGCAGTCCCGGGGGGGCCGTCAGGAATGAGAGGAGGGGTTGGATGGGGTGGCAGGAGTCTGGGGGCAGTCAGGGGACAGGGAGCGGGGGAGTGTGGCTGGGGCAGGGGTCCTGTGGGGGGCTGCCAAGGAACGGGGGGGTTGGATGGGGCAGGAGTCACGGGGGGGGGGCAGATAGGAGGCGGGGGCCAGGCCACGACCCCCTCCCCTAACCGGTCCTCCATACAATTTCCGAAACCCGATGCGGCCCTCAGGCCAAAAAGTTTGACTGCCCCTGTTCTAGAGCATATTTCAGGGAGATTTTTTTTCTTTTAGTTTTTAACTAAATATATGTTAGGAAAACTCTGGGTTATAGTTTAATCATTGTTATAGCTTATCAAAAAAAGTCAGAATGACCTTCATTGCTGCATTTTGTGCTTTTGTTGGCAAAGTTAAAGTCTGTTTGGAACACGCTAGTGAAATCAGAGTATTTGGGAAAAAAAGCAACTCAATAGAAGAATGGGCTTTTTAGGGAACATTAGAAGTATAATAAAAAGCCCTGATTCATTTAAGCAGTAATGATAATGAGGAAGGGCATTTCTTGGCAGCTAATGATAGAGTGGAGAAGGTGAGGGTGGGAGGCAAGTTAACAAATACTCAGTCAACCAGGAAATGCCCAACATAGTTATGCCTAATGTAAGATATTGAAGTCACTTTTCATACCTTGACAGTTAGTCTTATTGGCCCTGATATTTCAGTGGGGCTCCACCATATTACAGGGGTCCACCCACACAGACCTCATTACAGGACTGAGCTCATTGTCAGTTATGGTTCTGTTGAGTTCTTTGTTTTTGTGTAATCAGGTGTGTCTGTCCTACAAAAATAAAAATATTAAGAAAAAAGTTAACCGTACTGTATGTTATCATGCATCTGGTGTTCTTCTGCTCTTAGCAGTTAGTGCCTACAACTGGTTCGATTGAATTTGGTGGGAAAACTCCCTTTCACAAATAAGAAATCAGAACTTCATAATTCTTCATTATTTCCCTAGGTTTATTAAAAAAGCAATAAGATCAAATGAGAAAATATTTCTATTACTGCACTCTACAGAAGGTGGTGCTGGCATCTGACTTCAATTATTTGAGAAGAGCAAAGGAACTATCCGGAAGAGGTTAATTCTTAATGTACAATGAGAAATACAGATCAGTGAGATTATGGTTATTATTGGATTTAGCTGTCTGAGAAATCACTTCTTTCTCTGTGACTGACCTCCCACAATAACTACCTCCCACTAGAATGTGAGAATGTCCACAACTGGTGCTTGTGGGCGCAGGAGACAGAACTTCACAGGAGCTGGACCAAGACTATAGCATGCATCACACATGAGATAAAAATCACCATAGACCCCGCCGAGTTCAAAAATAAATACCAAACTCATCTCTTGAACTTAGCTTTACCTGGAGAAAGTCTATACACCTACAACTAAACTAATCAAGCTATTTTTTCCTATGGAATGGAGTGGAAGAGAGAGAGAGAGACTATTTTTTATTCTAATTTGAAATACATGGCAGGTACCATGGTGACCAGGGCCAAACCTAGATAGACAGGCAGATAGATACATGGCATTTTAAGAGCCTAATCCAACACCCCCTGAAATCAGTGGAAGGATTCCCATTGAATACAATGGACATTGGATCAGGCCTAAATGTAGTATGGACGATACTCATGGAATTGCTCTTTGAACTCACAGGGGAGTGTTCTCTTTAAGAGACAGATGGTAAAGTTACATCCTTAGGTCTGGTCTATACACAGTTTTTGTACTGATTTAACTATATTTGTTAACAAGTACAGGTCTGTCGCATCTTACGCGCATTTAACATGTGCGATTTCAGTTTTACGCGGTCGGCAAAAACAAAAACAGAAAAGAGAAAAGCAACAATTTTAAAACAACGATTTCACCCGCCATTGAACTCAATGGGGTTTTGGCTATACGTGGTTTTCGCTTCACGCGCTAACCGCGGAACGGAACTCCTGCGTAAGATGAGACAGACCTGTATAGTTACATTGGTGCAAACCTCTAGTGTGGATGCAGGTACACCTCTACCCCGATATAACGTGACCTGATATAACACGAATTCGGATATAACGCGGTAAAGCAGCGCTCTGGAGGGGGGCAGGGCTGCGCACTCCAGTGGATCAAAGCAAGTTCGATATAACGTGGTTTCACCTATAACGCGGTAAGATTTTTTGGCTCCCGAGGACAGCGTTATATCAGGGTAGAGGTGTATATTGAGATAAACACCTTGATGTTGGCAGAGTTTATTCTAGTCACTTTACTTAAATGTAAAGGGTATAACTGCATCCATGCTAGAGGCTGCACCAGTGTAACTATATCTATTTCTAAACCAACATAGTTAGATCAGTACAAAACCTGTTTGTAGATATGTCCTTAGTGGCCATTACATCAGCTGTGGCAAGTGGGAGCCAAACACTTATGGCTGATCTTCCTTTCATGATGTTACATAAAAATAAGGTGCTGCTGCTGCGCTCTCTCTCTCTCTCTCTCTCTCCAAATTCTTCCTGAAGGTGGTCTCTGAATTTCTTCTTAACCCATCCATCAACCACCCAGTCTTCTTCCCGGTATCCCCCCCAACGTACCTAGAAAAGATAGACTTTCTGAATTGGAAATTGTAGTGGGGTGACGACTCACCGGCGTGGCGTCTCCTGCTGGTGGTCTCGGGAATTAGCTTTATCCAGCCCGGAGCACCCTCTGCAGGCCAGTGTCTTGCCTGCCGCTGGCCCCGTGTCCCTCCCAGATCCTGGTGCCCTTTGCCCAGGGGTTCTGCCCACCACAGTACCCCCTCGCTCTGGGTCTCCCCTCCCAGGGGAACCCCCCAACCCTCTAAACCCACCTTGCCTCAGTGGCTACTGCCAGTCTCCATTTAGCCCCCACTCACTGGGGCAGACTGCAGTTGGTAAACCACTCATCATTGGCAAGGGGGGTTGGACCAGCTGCCTCTGCCTATTCCTTGGCTGCCCCTCTGCAGCTCTAGTACCTTTTTGTGAGCCCTGAACTTGGCCTGCAGCCTGGGGCTTTGCTAGGCCGGAGCTCCCCAGCACCCTCTGCCCTTCCCCAGCACTGTTCTACCCTAGGTACCCTCCTCAGCTTCCCAGGCAGCCAGGTCCTTCTCTCTCAAGAGGCTAGAGAGAGTGTGTCCCAGTTTCTGGCCCTCAGCCCTCTTATAGGGCCAGCTGTGGCCTGATTGGGGCATGGCCCCACATGTGGCTGCTTCCCCCAATCAGCCTTGCATTTCTCCGCCACAGCCCTCTCCAGGGCTTTAACCCCCTCAGGGCAGGAGCGGGGTGACCACCCCGCTACAGACATCAAAAGAGTATTGATGTGAGTAGAGCAAAATATGTCATGAATCTTAAAAGGTGTTTGTGGTTTTGGGGGATAAGTCCAAAGGAGAATCAGTCCGAGTTCAGAGGTTGTCTTGCTATCACTAAACTGGTGGTGTTGCACAAGAAGGCCCAAGGTCCATTCTGCTAGGTGTAAGGCAGTTTCAGATGGATTCTTCAGAAACATTCTATATCTGAAATCTGTGAAGCTACCATATTTACTACTTTATTCAGACCTTTACTCAATACTATTCTCTCAACTTTAGAGCCAAATTGGTTGCTTGTTTCAGGAGAGCACTCCTTTGGTCTTTATTTAAACTAGTCTGAAAAGTGGCTTTGTAAATATGGCAACAAAGAGCTCCATGTTTATTGTACCCCACTCTTCTAGATCAGGTATGCTCAATTTATAACAAAATTTTTCCCCCTAATGCCAGGCCTGCAAACTCTACCTGGGATCTGAAAGTCAAGCTGGTTTCTTTTCTTCTTGCAAATCACTACCAGTAATAAAAATACTACAGACCGATGACCTTCAGTGGGACTGGATGTGCACAGTAGCCTTGTAACTGGAGCTTAGAAAACAATTCTGTTGGTTCTGAGCAAGAAGGAGTAGAATTCATTGCATTCCCTACTGGCTGTGTTGGCTCCACAGTATTAAATGGACAAGGAAGCAGAAAAACTTCAGATGCTGATGCTAGCACATATGACTGATAACACACCAAGAGTCACATCTTGTCCCATTGAAGTCCGTGGTGAAACTCCCACTGACTCTTTGGGGGCAGGGGGCTCTGTGTTTGTTCAGTGCCTAATACCACTAGGTCCTGGTGCATGAGTTGGGCTCATAGGTGCTAGGTAATATAAATAATAATAATTTTACTTTAATAGGCCTAGAGAACAGATCTGTTAGTACCATTTTTACATAGGAATTTTTCAGAATAGAACCACACTTTAAGTTCTCGGCCTTCTTCCAGGGCAGTTATTACTGCTAGTCTGTCTCCCACGAGTGGATAACTGCAGAGGCGATTTTTGAGGGCAAAAGGAAGATTACTCACCTAGACCATAACTACTGTGAATATATTGCCTCTCCAGAACCACACTCAATTTCCTTTGTTATACTCAACTGCCCACTCTCCTTTCCTACTTCTTTGGAGTCCTTTGTTGAAATTTTGAATAGCTGAAAGGAACTGAACTTTATATATGTTTGGAACTTTGAGAAGAGGATGTGAATGCAGCCCAACTGGTCATTGCTTTCTAGATGGTTCCATGACTCCAGGCAGCGAGGTACACCCTGCTAAGACTCAAATGTGGAATTTAATGTTTGCCAGAGACCCAGTATGAGGGGGACACAAAAATATTAATGCAGGAAATTAAAAGTGCAATGGGATTCATTCCTTTACTCTTGTTATAACCTCAGCTTCATAACTGTTTATTTCTAATGTAAATAATTTTCAGTAATAAAAGTGAGGGAATGCCACGTTTAAGGGGAGTGTAGGCAACTTTGGGACTAAAATGAGTGAAGTCCTTTGAAATGAGGTATACCAGAGAGGTGCGGATCTGCAGAAGGCATATACTCAGAGCTCCAGATCCAGGTGAGTACACCTTCCTTATTCATCATCTATCTCCCATCACTGTATGTCTGAGCATATATGAGGTTCTGATATTGTGCTGTTTATTCCATCAAGAATAGAATCAGATTTGTATTTACTTCTGAATAACTCCTTGCTAACCGTTACATACATCTGTAGAAAGAATCATTCCTCTTATTAGAGTACATCATATCAATAGAAGTGAGCATTACATAAATTACTGCATTTCACAGCGGTGGAGGAAGAGTTGGTGCTAAATTAGCTAGCTCATGGTATAGTCTAGGAGACCGTTAAATGGTTAAGGGATCATCCTGAACTCAGGTACACAGTCCAAAAGGGGATTTAAGGCCTTAGAGTTCACAATGGTGCCTTGTCAGCGTGGTTGCTGGGCAGCAGCTGGAAGCTTGTTGCTCCTTGTCACAAAACAGTTAAGCCTACATTCATTTCTTTCATACATACAAGCAACCAAAAGCCTTTTAAACATTTTTTTAAAATGCCACAAACCACAAAAAGTCTACAAACTTCTCAATATTCCTGTACGCTAATATACCACAATGTTGCCAACTCTTGCAATTTTATTATGAATCTCTTAAAATTTGCTGTTTTCATGAAGCCCTAGACCCTGGAGTGATGTGAACACACCACATTTATTTTTACCACAACTTTCATTTTTTAAAAAAAGGTAAGTTTGTAGCCCTTTTCGTTTTGGAGAAAAGCTTGAAAACATGAGCCAGAAAGTCAGAAGGTAAATAAAGAGACTTCCAAATGTATTATTTTAAGGATCTTGTGTTTTTTAAGCCAATCTCATGACTTTGAGGGAACCTTACCCATGACCATGTATGTTTGGGGTTGGCAATACAGATGACAGTTTATTTTAAATGTGGTACCATATAAGTACCATATGCTTTTGATAAGTGAGTGACAGATGTATTGACCGTTTTCCACGACACACACGATGTAACTTTTTCATTTTTTGTTGTTGAAATATAAAGATTGTAGAATACGATAATCTACAGCTGTACCGTGTTTCCAAACATTCATTCGTTATTTAATTTCCTATGTCTGTCCAAAGGTGGATTATTTATTTAGTGTAAATTCACCTTCATGCTGATATCAACCTGTTCTTTAGCTTGTTTTGAATTCTAGGAAAGTGTGGAAAAATACATTTTCCCCACCTTCTAACCACATTCTTTTGAACAAGATATAGCAAAAATGGCTGATATTTGAAAGTTAGCCTTAGAGTAGTTCACCCTGAGAAGTATGCACTTTCCTACATTCTTTGTGGAGGAAAGATTCAAAATAAAACAAGTCATAAGTAATTAAAACATAACTTCTGAGCATGCTCAGTAGGCATCTGCTAGGATCTTTAGCAGTCTAATGAAGCAGAGTCCCCTTATGTAAAATATTGTCATTTTCCCTGTTTGGTCCATCTGTTGGCCTCGGTCATGGCTGGGGGCTTCTATATTCAGTATAGTTATAGGAAAAAATTACAAATGAGAAATTATAAATGTCTTGTTGAAACCATAGCAAAATCTCCATTAAAAACTGCCTTGACAATGTGTGACAGGAAAAAAATCCTAAGCTATTTCTTGCATTACTTTGCATGCCACTATCTTTTTTGACTGATGACTTTTTTTTGGATGACAGTCCATTTATCTTATTTGAAATACAGCTCTCATAAACAGCACACATAGCTTAGTTTTAGATAGGGCATTTATCTTCAGTTGTTGGGGGAGTGACTTGTCACAACACACTCGGACACCTAGGTGCTGCAGCTAGATCCTCCTGTAGTAAGCTCCATATCAAAACCTAAGCTATTGGATATTAAATCCTACCTAACTATCTTAGTCACCTTAGAAATACCTGTCAGCGATGCTGACTTTCCAGTTTCTTTGTACATCAAGGTAGCAAGAAAATTCTTTAAGTTGCTTTGTGTTTTGCTTTCTCTCTCTCACTCTCCCACAACATGGGCTGAATTTTGCCTATATATATAATGTTAACATGTATCTTTTCATATAGACCATGCCCTTGCTCAATGCACTTTAATATCTTCAGTGGATGTCAATATTTACACAAACCAATGGTTTGCCCTAGGACACATTAATGAGGGTTCTGCCAAACCACTGACCTCCTGGAATTGATTGACCTGGCTAACAGCCCTTTGTTGTCCAATGAAGTATAAAAGACCGTACGAAGTGTATGAATGTCATATAGATTCCCACCCACCTGAAACCATGAGGATGCTATTAGTGTTTCTGGTTTATATTCCATTCATCTTAGCAATAGAAAGGTAAGAAAGCGTTTCAAGTATCACAAAATGGTCCTTATAATGCATTTTGTTCTCAGCTGATTTCCTGGAATGATCTCTGTGTGTTATTGAAAAAGCCATTTTAAAAAAACATTGGCATTTGAGTGATATAGACTGGAAGTCCAATTAAAATGGTTTGTGTTTGTTTAGGATCCCTTTAGGTCGATTTAAATCCATCAAGAGGCAACTTCGAGAAAAGGGAGAACTGGAGGAATTTTGGAAAAATCATCAGCCTGACATTTTTGCTCGGAGATATCTGCATTGCTTCCCTTCAGATATTTTTCTATCAGCTGGATCTGCTTCAGAAAGGCTATATGATTACATGAATGTGAGTATGTTCTTGTGTAATGGAATTTAAAGGGTTATTTATTGTACTGAAGGCAGGTTTAGTTCAGCACACTACTTCTATTCTCTTATATAAAGTTTTGCAAGTTGAGATTAATTGTGTATCTGTTTAAACTAGATTCTTTGCATCCTTATAAATGAGCTTGCCAGTTTGTAAAAGACTGATCTAGTAACATGAGTAAAATTAGGATAGACATGGGACCTACCTAGAATTTCCCTCTAGTTTAGAAACTATGTTCCTGCAATGAGTCACACCTACCCCAATTGACTTCACTGGGGCTCACATCTATGTGGGAGGCCCAGCAACATCGATCAGAAATATGTTTGTTGACATGTTACAAAATAAACCAAAATCTCATCTTGTTTGAACATGTTAGGTCACAAATAAATTCTTGTAAAAATCTGTGTCAATAAAGACAGGTTTCAGAGTAGCAGCCGTGTTAGTCTGTATCTGCAAAAAGAACAGGAGTACTTGTGGGACCTTAGAGGCTAACAAATTTATTTGAGCATAAGCTTTCGTGGGCTACAGCCCACTTCGTCAAGTGGGATGTAGCCCACGAAAGCTTATGCTCAAATAAATTTGTTAGTCTCTAAGGTCCCACAAGTACTCCTGTTCTTTTTGTGTCAATAAAGACATGTAGGTAACACGAATGTAGTTTTTGCTATTATTATTTATTGTGCCCAAAGTGCAAGAGGCACTTCAGAGATAAAAATGTCAGGCCTGCCTTAGCCCTGAAGAATTTCCCATCTAAACAGATCTCCGATTTGAAGGACTGGGGTTGGGTGGGATATTATATCACACAAGTGATTTGAGCTTGTGAACACCATGTTTCTTGGTTTAGAGTTTTGTTTGGTTTTCTAATGGGTTATTTTGTTAACATTTATCAAAGGAGAGGACTAGGTTATACAGGCTTCTTGGAGGAGATTGTGTTTGTATTCAAGATGGTGGAAGCATGGCAAATTGGGTCAATGAGAGGGGGTTCCAAAATAGGGGGCTACAAGGAAAAAGGCCCAGAGGTGAGCATGGAAGAAGAGCGTGACGTGTTAAAAACAACTCCCATTAGAACTAGAGCTGGCCAGAGTTTTCCAAATTTAGAATTTCTGAAAACATTTTTGTTGACTGTTCAAATTTTGACAGAAAACGTCCTGAAAATTTTTGTTGAGAAGTTTTTTTTTTTTTAAACTAGCAGTTGAGCTAGGCAATAAAACCAGTAACAAGAGTCGAAAAATATTTGTGAAACCTTTTCCTGGTGTTTTGACCAGTGCTATAGAACCAGTCAGCAACACTCACACTCTATCCAGAGGGACGTGTAGGTAGTGACCTGAGTAGCCCTGAAGTGAGCCCTACCCTGGGGAGAGATAGCAAGAGGTGTGTCCCTGAGCAGGGCCCTGTCCCCGCCTGAGGGAAGGTAGAAGTGGGGGTGGCCTTGAGGAAAGCCCTGCCTGGGCCTAAGGGGGATGGGCAGAACTGAGGCCACCCTGTGAATTGCTCAATCTTTTTCTCTCATCTTATAGTTTAAAAAATGGAAATGATCAATTATTTAGTTTTGCCCAAAGTGGCAAATGCACGAGTTGACCATTCCAAACTCCCCCCACAACTGGCAATTTGACTATGAGCACAGCTGAGCAGATTCTGTCTATAATCCATCTCTCTCCCAGGTGACCAGGCCCAGAGGTGGTGCTAGCCCATTGGGAGTCTTAAGCAGGAATATTTTTGCTCCTCCCTCCCCCCCCCAACACATAATAAAAAGTGAATAGGGGGCCCCGTTGAGCTGCTAGGGCCCTAAGCAAATGCTTAGTCTGCTTATGTCTAGCACTGGCTCTGAACAGGCCACTTCCCTAAAATGAATTTCATATAGTGGGTGGGATTCCATGCATTTTTCCACCCACCAATAAAATTAAAAACTCCTAAACAATAGCATTTCTGGTTTTGCTTCCTGGGTCTTAACTGATGAGCATTTTGTGAAGATACAAATACTAGAAAACCAGCTGCTAGTAGAATGATTTATAGCCTTACTATTTCACTTGTAAGGCGGGACTACTTAATTTAAACAAAGCTTCTCTGCTTATGAATTATGATCCCTCTGTCTCTCCACCTTTACATAATGATATATCTGTATCTAGTAGCAAGGGACTACAAGGGGGCCTGGGATGGGCATACTTTTAGTTTTGTAGCATATAATAAAGAAATAATACTATGACCCAGTTAGGATAAAGTAGGATCCCACTTCCACCTGTTCTGATGAGGGGAAAGCTAGTGAATTGGAAATGGTGATCCTCAGGGTGAAGTTAAAAGAACAGAAGCCTAGGGGACAATCTAGATAAGATTCACCGCAACGCACCCTAACTTTAGTTTACTATAGAAAAAATTCTTAAATCTTAATCTGCTCACTGAGGGTTGTAGTTGGAAGGGCTTGCTTAGCTCTGACTGAGTGCTTGTCATTGTATCTAGAGAAAGTTATGGATCATGCCCCAAAGGGATTTTCAGTTTTAAATATACAGACAATAACATACTTCCCACAAATAACACACTAGTTAATTAATCTCAAAATGTTGCAGGTTTTTCCATTTAACCATATTATTTATTATTATTAATGCGCTAGGTGCTGTACAGAAACGGATACAAAGATAAGGTCCCTGCTCTCAAGAGCTTACAATCTAGTTTTACAGATGATGCAAAAAGGTGATAAACAATAATGGCGGAGGACAAGGGTTACAGTAATAAATAAAATCATGCCGTGACTTAGTAGATTTAGCTCATCTAGATGTTCTATTACACATAACTCATGCTGCTGTTTTTACTGACTTGTCTAATTTAGAATGTAAGTTCTTGGGGCAGAGACCACGTTCCATTCAGTGCTGAGCACATTAATAGCAATTAATACATTCATAATAAACATTCAAATATTTGCATCAATACAGAATATTTTGGCACTGGATAGGCTTTTCTATCTGCATCGGATGCCAGAAATGCCTATTCCTAAAAATAGGGCTCCTAATGCCGCAGTGCTATTCCATAGGCAGATATGGGCACTAAGCACTTGGAGCCTGGAAGTTGATAAGCTACTTCAGAGTTCACATGTTCACAGATTATCTCCATCTGCCTTTTATACAGAAGAGCCTTCTATATTTTCTATATTCGTCTGATAGGTTTTGTGTGGTGCATCAGGTGGAGTCTTAAGCAGAGACTGAATTTGATCAGCTTGTTTTAACTGACTAACTACTACTGACTAGAATACATTCAAATAAAAATATACAGCAGTGTGCCCCAGTGAGGTGATAGTTGCATTGCCAGTTGGGTTAATATTCAGAGCTTTCTAAAATCAGTAGGGCTACATCTTGCATTTCTTATTACGATAAAGCTCCCAGACCTTCTGTTGCCTTCAATAGGAGTTTTGCAGGAATTTATTGCAGATTTTGCCTATCATTTGTAAGAGTTTGGTGCATGATTTTGCTTCCATTTAAGTCAATGGGAAAACTCCAGGATTGACTTCTTGCTCTTGAAGTGCTTAAAAGCTATGCCACATCCTGAAATCTGCCTTAAGTGGCCACTCATGGGACGGGAAAGAATTGGTTGCCTGGTAGAGGTAGCATTTAATTAAAAGTCAAATCAAATTGGATTGGGAACACTGAGGATATTTTACATTGTACTTTTGTCTGCAGAGGTGTAGCGAGCGCCCTCCGTACCCTCCGACCGGAGGGGGCCCCGCAAGGAAGGGGGCCCCTAAAAGTGGCAAAATAAATATCGCATTCCAGTTTCTGCATTGTAAGGGGCCCCACCTGGACATATGTTCGGAGGGGGCCACCGTTCGGAGGGGGCCATGTTCTTTGTTGCTACGGCCCTGTTTGTCTGTCTTTTCTTCAAGGATAGTCTGCATTGATATAGTGCTAAACTGACTACGTATATTTTTCCCCAGGCCCAGTACTATGGGGTGATAAGTGTTGGCACCCCACCTCAGAAATTCACAGTGGTGTTCGACACAGGATCATCCAATTTTTGGGTCCCTTCAGCTTATTGCATCAGCGAAGCCTGCAGTAAGAGACGTTATGTTCCTTTGAGCATCTAATGGTTTAATTCACCTTTTAAAGTAGCTCCCCTGCAATGAATGCACTTTGTTGGAAAACGTATTTAACCGAAAACCAAATACATTTCTTGAGTGTTCAGCAGAGTCTCACATACCTTCACTTCACACCCCTATTTTACAACAGTTCTACTGAAAGACTCACTCGCAGTTTTATTCAAGTTGTGCAACAGTGGAGGGAGTCGATACTCTCCCGTGATATTCAGATTAATTCCAGTTCTGCACGCTCTGGAATTTGTCATTGCTAGTTAGATACAACAGGGACAAGCGACACAAAGTGGGAGGTGAAAGGATTAGTCCATTTCCACTATACTGGCGAGGTGGGTAAGAAAAAGGAGTCACTAGAAAGAATGTCTGTGTTGCTTATCTCAGAGTTAGCTGCTGAGCTACACTAATAGGTCCATTATACCGCACACAACTTATGTTGTGGTGGATAAGAAACAGCATTCAAACTTCATGCTGCCAGAGACATCTGAGGCAAGAGAAGACAGAGAGAAAATCTCAGAGTGAAGTACTGGAATCTAAAGGCTACAGATGTGCCCAGTAGGGAGAAATGAACAGGTTAATATTTCAGAGGAATCTGTATTTAAGCAGCTGGATAATACTCATAACCTCAGATAGGGATCTCAGTCCGATCGGAGTATCCAGCTGCCTCCCTCCCCATCCCTCAATAGGTCAGGGTGCTCTCTGAGTTGGTGCAATCTTCTAGGAAAAGATTTTTGCTCACGCAACAACTCTTTCCCCTTCCTGACATCTTCAGATGGCAACCAACTCATGCATTCATCCAGCTACTAATGGGGGTGGTGGAGGAGGTACTGCATGCATGGTCTTATTTACATCAATATTGAGACAGTGTTCTCAGGAACTTTGGCCATGATGTCCAAACTCTGAGTGTCTTTTCCTGGGGTGAGCAGCTTCTCTCTGTTACACAGCAGTGGAAGTGGAGAGGCTCCTCCACTGCAGCTGCTGCTGCTACACTGATCTTTTGATTCTGGGCTGAAGGAAAATGTGAAAGGATTTGTGGAAGGAGTAGGCAGACTTTGCTGTGCATCCCCTAAAGAAACAGGATGTGTAGAGCAGAAGAGGTGAGATTCTGCCCTCTAAATGGTTCCACTGTTACTGAGTATCCAGGGAGATTGAAGTGCTCTCCTACTGGTTTTTAAATGTTTTTTTTTGAATGGACACTCAATAACAGACTTAAAAGTGGCCATTCTTCAACAAAAAAACTTCAAAAACAGACTTCAATGAGAAACTGCAGAACTGGAATTAATTTGCAAACTGGACACCATCAAATTAGGCTTGAATAAAGACTGGGAGTGGCTGGGTCACTACAAAAAGTAATTTTCCTTCTGTTGATACTCTCACCTTTTTGTCAACTGTTGGGAATGGTCCACATCCACCCTGATTGAACTGGCCTCATTAGCACTGACCCCCCCCCTTGGTAAGGCAACTCCCATCTTTCGATGTGCTGTATATTTATACCTGCCTACTGTATTTTTCACTCCATGCATCTGATGAAGTGGGTTATAGCCCACAAAAGCTTATGCCCAAATAAATTCGTCTCTAAGGTGCCACAAGGACTCCTAGTTGTTTTTGCCCTCTAAATGTGTCAGGAAGATGGCAGGGAAGGATAGGTTTGAAGGTCCTCATTGGCACTGTCATTGCGTTACTATTTTAAATTCCATTCCTCCTATGCCTCACCATAGCCATGATATGCACCTTTTGCTGCTGCAACAGCTGTTAATTGACAATCAAATACTATGAAAAATTGGGGGCAAAAGAAACATGAGAAAGTTAAAAAAAAATCTGTGGAAATAGCTGGATTCAAAAAAAAGTATTTTTGACACAGAAAGGAAATCAATCAATCGCTGAGATATTTTCAGAATAGGGAGAAAACTGCAGGGCTTATGGGATGCAGGGACTCTTGCCTGCTTCCCTTCATGTATTATTTTGCTTCTCCAAACAATGTGTTTTGTTTGACTGTCAGCTAGTCCTGTGTCTCAGAAATCTGGTACATTCCCGATAACTGTATCTTTAGTGCTAAGGGTGAGGTTTATTTTCACAGAGATGCATGAAAAATTCAAATCATTTCTATCAAACTCCTATCAGCATGGAGGGCAGGCCTTTGCTCTACAGTATGGTACTGGGCAGCTTCTAGGCATTGCTGGCAAAGACACACTACGGGTGAGTGGAATCCTAACATCCTCATTATCATCGCTCTCTGTATTGATTGTTTATGGCTTTCCAAGGTTAAGATGTTAGTATTGACCTACAAAGACCTGAGTAGTTTGGGACCTGCCTTACATGAGGAGAGGGACAGTGACTCATGTCCTATGGCCACAGATGCTATCAGTGTAGATGCTTGAGCTGAAGCCCTTCGGGGACGGAGTGGGGAGAAGGAAGTAGAGAGCCCTCAGCATAGTGTTCTCTGTGAGACGCCTGGGCTTCAGAAGTTCCTTCCTTCGTAGTCCAGAACAAATCTGCTGACTGTGAGCAAAGCCTAACTGTATGCCCAGGATTTTGAGGATAAGGTTGGTATTGCTTGGGTTTGATTTTATCTTTGGCTTTGGGGTGAGGCGCAAGCTGCTAGTTCAAGGTGACTGACTGACACCAACCTCTGAAACCCAGGAAATACAAAGTTAAGGTACAGGCCACTCCTGCAATGCAACCTTAACTCTGCCCCTGGAGCTAGCAATAGCCATTGGGAATGGTTCACAAATGGGATGCCATAATAAGTAGCCAGCAGAAAATTCTAAGAGGCTGTACAATTATTTGTGTTGTGTTCCACAGATTTGAATTCCAGCATTTATCTGCATTCATGTCAGCTGTGTTCACTGTGTTAGGTGTAGTTGTACTGAATGGTGGAGGGCTTAGACTGGAGCAGCTGGTACAGTTGTTACTGTGGGCATGGCCACGCTAGAGAGTTTACAGCCGCGCTGCTGCAAACTGTCTAATGTAGCCGCTGTAAGCAGGGCCGTCCCTAGCTATTCTGGGGCCCTACGCAGACCCCCATGGGGTGGGGGCGCGGCTGGCTTGGGGGACAGGAGGGAACCACCTCCCAGCACTCACCGGTGGTGTGGCTGGGGTTGGGTCCCTGCACTTCCCGCCGCCGGTGAGTGCAGGCCCGGCCCTGCTGCACTCCCCAGGGACAGGAAGAGGCGGGGCTGGGGCGGAGCAGGGATGGGAAGAGGAGGGGCTGGGGCGGGGCAGGGGTGGGGGGCCTGGGGAAGAGGTGGGGAGGGGCTGGAGCAGCACGGAGCTGCGCAGGGCATCAGAAAATTTGGTGCCCCAAGTTTCCTGGTGCCCTACGCAGCTGCGTACTTTGCGTATGGGTAAGGGCGGCCCTGGCTGTAAGCCGACAGGAGAAAGCTCTCCCCTCAGCTTATCTACTCTAGTCCCTGTGAGCAGTGGCAGCTATGTCGGCGGGAAAACTGTCCACACCAGCGCTTATGTCGGTGTAATTTATGTCGCTCGGGGGGGGGGAATTGATTCACCCCCCCGAGCGACATGCTATGCCAACATAAGCTGTAGTGTGGACATAGTGTGTGGTATGACGAGAGGTGCATGAGTATATCCGAGGGTCACAAGTGCCTCATTTAAGTGCTGACTTCTGTAGATTGTGTTAGTGTCGATGCATGGGGTGATCTTGTTATCTGGGTTGTCAGCAGTGTGGCACACTGGGGGCTGGTGATAGGGTGACCAGACGTCCCGATAAAATCGAGACCGTCCTGATATTTAGGTGTTTGTCCCGCATCCCGATCGATCTTCGGTCGGGATGCTGCACTCCGCCTTTTTATTTTTTTTTCTCTGCCGGCAGCACTGGGCTGTTCTCGGTTTTTTTTCCTCCTGAAAACCAGAGGCTCCCCCACTGTAAACTGATCCACACATTGCTACCAGTCTGGACCCAGCTAGACTTGCATGTCAGAATGCAGAGTGAAAGGAAAAGTTACAGCGGTTGTTACTTCTCTGCTCTGTCATTATGGTGATGAGCCTGGTGTAAATACCTAGACGTTGGAGGTATGCATAGCTAAGGGAGGGTGCATAATCTCCTCTGACTGCCTGCAGCACTAGGCTGTTCTTGGCTCCCCCCCCCCCGACTGCCGGCAGCACTGGGCCACAGTAGGGAATTGGGAGAGGGAGCTGTTTGTGTCGTTACACCGGCAGCATTCGGTTTTGGGGTTTTTTTGCTCTGCTGGTGACCCCCCCCTCTTGTGTCCCGATATTTTCTTCCTGTCATCTGGTCACCCTAGCTGGTGAGGGGTTAGTGAAGGCAATGCCTCAGAAGGAATGCTTAGGCTGGGGTGAAGGGGAGGTAACAGTTAGTTTGGGGTGGTTTGTGTGGAATTGGCTCAGTGTTTGAGTGTAGACCAGGTGTTAGTAGCTCCTGTTTGCTACATCAGACCTAACCTTAGTTTTGCCTTAGCTAAGACTTTGTCCTACAGTTCTCTTGTGCTCTGATCCCAGAATATTCTATAGCATCTGTAGAGCACTAGTATGTGGTGTTGGCATGTTGAGGCATTGCTCAAAAAGGGCAGAGTTAAGATTGCATTGCCAGGGAGAGGAGTGTGTACTTTAACTCTGTAGTTCCTGGTTTTCAGCAGTTTGGGTGCAGCTGAACTCAGAGTTCTGAAAGGGCATGTGACTCGACCAGGGAACCTTAACTCTGTGTTAACAAAGCTTTTGGGCACTTAATTTCCTTGGGTTTTTTAAAATAATTTTTCAGTATCCTCATGCATCGCAGCCCAGCTCTCCCCCTCCACTGCTGCTGGATCCCTGGCAATGATTACCCTGGCCACAGAATGCACAGGCTGTATGTGAGTCTGTTCACTGCCCTGTGTCATCTTCTCATCTCCTTGCCTGTCCAACTCAGCCCACCTCCCCACAGAGAGGTGAGTGTTGGAATGGAACCCGCTGGTGGGAGAGCTGGGGAGAAGATGCAGGAACAGTGCAGGGACTGGCATGGAGTCAGTGAGGATATTTTTTGAAAGGGAGGCAGACATGGGAGGTGGAAATGGATGTACGGAGTTTTGGGGGACATATGTGAAGCCCCCCAGCATCCTCCAATGCATAGCTCTGACCCCTCCTTTCCACTCCACTCTTCCCTGCATTGCTCCAACCCCCTCCTCACCATAGGTCACTGCTCTTAACCACCATGTTCCCCTACCACTGCTCCATCAGCGCCAACATCCCCTACATCACACCCATTGTTCTGACCACCCGAATACCCACAATGCTCGGCGCTCACCCCCTTGCACACCAGTTCCACCATCCTCCTTCACACTCCATGCTCCTGGAAAGCTTGGAAGGGCCATGGGGAAGTGGGGAGTGGTGGGTTGTGAGGAGGGCATGTATCAGCTGAAGGCAGGAAGGGGCAGGAGAGTGCAGATGCAAAGTCTCTACTCCAGATGTGGGCCTAGTATATGGGTAAGCCCCTTCGTTTTCAGTTTAAACCATTTTTTACCGAAAAATTCCCAGGTTTTACAAAAAGTATTCATTTTTTTCTGATTTTTACCCTACTTTATATCATTCAAATATATATAAAAATAACTTGTTTTATTAGGAAAATACAATACATTGCATGAGATATATGTATTATGATAATACATTAATCTGTGTGTATATGCAAAGCTGTCTGTTGAAGTAAGGCTATGTATCAGTCTAGATAGAAGATACAAACAATAAACCAACAGGCATACACACGAGCTCTGAAGTGCGTGCGTATCTGTACATAGTGATGAATCTCACACCCACCACGTACACATTTAAAGCTGCTAGCAGATTATGGTTAAAGATTTGACACACTAAAATGGGAAGAAAAGGTAAAGCTGCATCAGAATACATTTCAGAACAGAAGGAAGTAGTCGAAAGTTAAAAAAAAACCCCAAAAAACAGGAGAAAAGGATGAAGTTAAGTGTATGCGTTGCAAATGGCATGGCCCAATGATTAAATGTAAATATTTATAGGCTAATAGTTCTAAGTCTACAACAGTAAACTGTTTATTCAAATGAAAAGTTTTATTTGGGGTAAGGCTGTCGATTAATCGCAGTTAACCCACACGATTAACTAAAAAAAAAATGAATTGCAATTAAAACAATCTTGATTAATCGCACTTTTAATCACACTGTTAAAAAATAGAATACCCATTGAAATTTATTAAATATTTTTGGATGTTTTTCTACATTTTCAAATATATTAATTTCAATTACAACACAGAATACAAAGTGTACAGTGCTCACTTTACATTATTATTTTTATTACAATAATTTGCACTGTAAAAATGATAAAAGAAATAGTACTTTTCAGTTCACCTTATACAAAAAATGTATTGCGGTCTCTTTATCATGAAAGTGCAAATTATAAATATAGATTTTTTTGTTACGTAACTGAACTCAAAATCAAACCATGTAAAACTTTAGTGCCTATAAGTCTACTCAGTTCTACTTCTTGTTCAGCCATTCGCTCAGACAAACAAGTTTGTTTACATTTTCAGGAGATAATGCT